TCATGGGAACTGCTTCTGAAAGAAGGGCTAATGTGGCGGGCTGCGCCTGATCAATCATATAGACTATTCCATTACACTTCACAGATTTCAATCACTTCATTCTTGAATGCATATGCTCCGATTCTCAGTCATTCTTGATCACTGATCCTCGGCTGCTACAAACGCGCATATATTCTCCCGCCCTGAAGCTTCACCGCGTACGCCACCACATACGCGTATAAATATCCACCTCAATTGCTGATTCTTGCACTCTCTCTTTCTTTCCTTCTCTAATGTTTTTATCTTTGTTATATAAGACCTATCAATATTACACTGATCTATTCAGCGTAGACCTCTTACACTTAGAAACTGAAGCTTTTCTATTAGGTTTTACAAGGATTACTTCAGTAGCTTCTCTCCAGCATTCAGAATAATAATCATTTCTTAAGAGATTGAAAAAGAGCTCAAAATATTCATTCTTTAAGTAGGAATATGTGTTTTGAATAATTAAATAATTAATTGAATCAGGCTCTGCAGCAGTTTTAGTTGAACTTGAGAATATTACTGACTCTAGTTCATCATCTATAAGCTCAGGCCATTCCCAGTTATTTTCATCAATATATTCATGAAATGACGTACGCGTCGATAGAGATGGTCGTTTTTCTGTGCTCACTGTCCCACCCGCTGCTTTGTAACCGTCAACAGAACCGCTGGAGAAAGAACAAGACGAAGGAATGAGAAAAGGTGACTGCGCTGGGCTGGAAATTCCTGGCTTACGCACCACAATCACCAAGTTCTCAATCTGTTCATCTGGGAAGGTACTCTCATCTTCAATGGGTTTTCCTACATTCGCATTTTCATTTTGCCCCGTTACCGGCACATAAGCTGGCGAGAACTCGGGGGCAGCGGACGATAATACGGACTGATGCACGCGGGTATCAGAAGTGGCACCGTTCGACAACGAATAATGGGAAGGGATCGCGTTTCCGGAGATTTCGTGCAGTGACCCATTGCCATATGGCGCGGTGGTCTCTAGGTGACTCGAGTTCAAACCATCACTGTTCCCATCGTGAGCTGGAGTTGACAAAGAAAGTGGGGGAGGGCCTTCATTTTGGGCGGAAGGATCGCGATTTTCCATTGCGAGGATCCACTGTTCCCATTTCTCCCGTTTGCGAAGGCGATCATTTCCATCTTCCCCGGGTCTATACTCCACACTTTTCAGTTGGCGGCAGACAAGACGAAGGAAATCCATATCTTCGGTGAGGCTCTTAATCCGCTTGAAACCAGCGATAAAACTTAATAGAACAAAACCCTGTGAATCCATGTGTTTCCGCAAGAACAAGTCTTTGCAAAGATTGTCAACCGAGAAATAATACTCCCTGGAAATTCATTAGTTGAACTACGCTCAAGAGTGATTTGGGGGGTGCGGTTGGGCTGGGGCCTTACAGCTGCATTGAAATCATGCTCATTAGAGAGTGCTCCATATACGGATGATATGGAATCGCAGTCATTGGGCCTTGATGTAGCATGGGATAACCATACATCGTATTGAGGTTGGTTTGGATTGGATAGGGTGTAGGGCTATAGACTCTTGAGGATGGAAGGGATGGTGATCTCATATTGAGACCCCGGTTAGAACCATGTTGCTGGCCTCCATTCTGAGATGCCTGATGATGAGATCGGTGACGTTCACTAAGTGAGAACGGTTTTGTGCTTTGGAACTGGGATTGTCCAACTGGGGGGCTATGGTATTGGGAGTTATGAGCACCGCTATAGTTTGAATGTCCACCTCGGCCCCTATAGCCCCCACGGCCTCTCTCGGACCGAGATTCTCCACGCTCTCTACCATACTCACGATCGCGATGGAAGTCGTTACGTTCCCGTGGGTACTCTCTTTCTCGCTGGTTCGAGAATTCCCTATCCCTGGGGTGGAAAGGAGGCTCCTTGTAAAATTCTGCAGACCTTGGGCCGTTGTCAAAACGGCGCTCGTGGCCTGAGCTAAAGCGTGTGCCAGCATGAGAGTCTCCTTGGACACCGGCATGTCTTCCCGTATGTTCAGTGCCTCGCTGGGATGTCACGTTGGAATAGTCGTGGCTCCTACCAAAGCTCTTCGAGTTCTGTCGCTGGCGTGGGCCTGTTTCAGCAGCGGGATGATTGGTTTGAGTTTCACCACCGGTTGTTCCCCGAGGCTCCTCTGGAGCCTTTACACTTTTTGAGTCGCTACTAGCTCTATCCGGTCGGCTGTCATGTGGTGCTTTCTTTTCGTCTGGCGACAATGGCGCATTTACGCTACCCGTTCTTGCGGGTTGAGTGGTGCCAGATTGGTCCGAGTCAACACGTGTACCACTGCGACCCCTATCACTGGAACCAGTCTGTTTTGACCCGCCAGCGGCTGAAGCGGATGCAGGGACGCTTCGGTCACTACTGGATATGGCAGCAGAAGGGATGGGCGCCACTGCGCATACCTCCCTCTCTTCCGCCTCTAGAGGGTCTTCCACCTCTTCGTGCAGCCGGGGGGAGAGGAGTATTAAAAACAGCCGTCGGAACATAGGGGACGGGCATCCATTTCTCCTTCCCGCGCGATCCGGCGGTAGGAGCCTTTTCCTTCTCGGACTTCTCCGTCTTGTCGCTCTTTTCTTGGGCTTGCGGAATTCTTCGCCTTGTGCCAGCTGAGGGGTGGGCCACGAAGATGCATCGCCAACTGGAGGGAGGGTCTCTGCTGTTTCAATGTCAATATTTGTTGATATACTTGAACGAACGCCAGGTTTCCTGGAACCTATCGTAGTGTCAGAAGATTAAAGCTTGGGGAGGGGGAGAAATTAATCCTTACCTTCTTCCTTACTCTTACCGCTTTCGCTCGATTTTTTCTTGGCTATTGCCGCATCTGCCGCGACTTCAGAACCGCCAGCCTTCTTTCTGGGGCCACCCTTTGAACCTTCCGCACGGTTTTCGCTAGGAACGGACGACTTCGAGTTGAAAGGCTTGGCAGCAGCCGTCGTTGTCGATTTCAAGGCAGCACTAGCCTTGGCCTTTGCCTCTTGTGCTTCTCTCCTTTGTTGCCAGACATTTACTGCGGGGATGGGCGCAGCCTTCAATTCTTTTAGAACAGGAACATCCTTCTCCCAACCGTTTTCCTTCAATTTTTCCTTGCCCGATTCTCCACTTTCGCTCGACTTTTCGACGGTTCCTGAAACTTGCGACTGCTTGTCCCAGCTAGAGTCGGGTATGCCATTTGGAGTTCCAGAGGTATCGTCTTCTTTAGGCAGCGTTGTAGTAGATGTAGTTCCCACGCTTGGAGACGAAGTTCCGGAAGTAGCAGTCTTCCATGGCGCACCAGCAGCAGGTGGGGTGACTGTCGAATCTGAGGAGCGCTCAGAAGATGATTGCGATTTGTCGGTGGCATCAGCGGGTTCCGTGGCAACTGACGATGATTCCAAGTCCGTCGAAGAGGCGACAGTTCGGTTTGACCCATCCCCATCCACCGATCCAGTAGCTGTCCTATGGCTGCTCGGGTCTGACGATGTTGTGCTTGACTTGTTTTGCTTCTCAGCAACGATTTGCACGCTTGGAGGCGTAGAAAATCCCTTAGCGGCTTGGGCGTAGGAAAACGCGGGCATCTCTAGCCCAGGTCTGCTAGTTGAGGTTGACATTGTGGAATGCAAAAAATTATCAGTATTTTGCCACAACAAATCGACGTTGCGAGATGGCACGGGTTCTATGTCTAGATAGATGGAACTGAAAGGGTTTTATGTGCTGGACGAGTCCAGCAACTTGTTAAACGACTCCAACTGCCGGTCTGGCGGAAACGGACAACCTCCACCCTCTGGCTGCCCCACCAACAACTGTTGTCTCAAAACCCAGGAACGTCAAGAGCCTGTCGACTATCTATCGCGGAGGGGGAAAAACCGTGTTCACTAGATGGATGAGGCACTGGCGGGAAGGAGATCTTGGGGAAAGGATATTTTCGAAAACCGAGGATTCACAGCGAAAGAGAGACCTGAAGGGGGGTTTTACATTAGCGAACAGTTGGAGTTTGCGGTTGATTCAGGCTGGAAAAGCCTTAAACTAGGGAAAAACTGTCGAAGAATCTCCGAAGCAGCGAGACGTAGAATAGATAAGCGTGTGCAGGTCCTCCGCAATAAGCCCGAAGAGCTTGTCCAAGAAGAACAGAAAGGGGAGAGTGAACTGGAATTGCCGGAGGGACAGGGCAAAGGAGTGGGCAAGACGGCAAACCAGGGAGATAAGGAAGATTATTTTTTTTTTTTTTTTTTTTTTTTTTTTTTTTTTTTTTTTTGGTGTGTGGATGTTGGAGGAGAGGCGATGGATAGGATAGAGAGTGCGATCGCAACAACCGAAACACACGTACTTTTTTGATAAACAGCAACACAGGACACCCGTAAAGACAGGGAAGGATGGAGGGTCGAAATGGTTTGTGTTGTGATGAGTATCCCGAAGAAAAAAAAGCGCTGTGGGCTTTGTCCGGACGATCTCCTTTTTTTGGTGAAACGCCCCGAAAGGAAGCGCGATTGAAGGGGAAGAAGGCCTCTCTGGTTTGTTTTTTTTATTTTTATTTTTATTTTTATTTTTATTTTTATTTGTTTTGTCCCCTTTGGTCACCAAGAGCCAGCCAGCCCACCAAGAAGAGAGAGTCCCACGCGACGACAAGCGACGACGTCCAGACAGACGAGGAGGATTGAAGTGCGTGAGGGCGAAATCGAGGACGAGCTTGCAGCCACGCAACGACGTTGAGACAAGACAGACGGCGAATTGAGCGGCTATCTGACTATTTGGAGGTGCAAGCCTGTCGTTGATGAAGTTGCTGTTGTCTGGGGGAGGGAGGGAGGGGGTTGTGTTGGAGGTTGGAGAGCTGAAGGAGTGCGGGATGTTGTCAAGTTGAGAGGAAGAAAAAAAGGGAAAAAAGTTGAAAAAAAAAAAAAGGAACTAATTCGTTTGGTGGAGAGATTCGGGACAACAGGCAAAAAGGACGAAACCTTCACATATACACACACACACACACACACACTATAGTTATATTGCCCACAGCAGCGACAATAGCGAGTTTAGCACACTGAAAGACATAGGACGGAAAAGAAGACGGGCTTGGTTTTTCTTTTTTTATTTTAATTTTTTTAGGGAATCAAATAAAGAAATAAAATATAATATAATATAAAATGGGGAAGAAAAGTGAAGAATTTTGGGGGAGGGGGAAGTGTGAGGGGGGAAATGCCAAGTAAGGGCAGGCAAAAGAGGAGGATTGCGGGTTGAACAAGGAGAAGAGGACAAGAGGAGAGAGAGAGAAAAAAACACACGGCTCCAACGAAATTAAAATTTAAGCCGAGAGTAGTGAAGTGTGGACGCAGCAAAAAAAAAAAAAAAAAAAAAAAAAAAAAAAAAAAAACCGAAAAAAAAAGTCTTTCGTTGGCCCTGGGGCTAAGCATCATAAAAAAAGGCTGCTTGGGCTTGCCGAACGTCCGCGGCGGGCAGAAAAATGCTGAAAGGTGTTTTGAATTTGATCACAATAAATTGTTTCTGTTTTCCTCTTTGTCTTCTATATCCAGCAGTGGCAATGATAATCAGCCTGCAAATATAAAATAAAATATAATATAATATATTGGTTACACAACACATCAAGAACATTTAACTCTGATATATGTATTTAATTTGAATTTCCATTTTTCCATCTTATATATATTTTGATTTCTGAATATCTCGTATTCTAATAATTACTCTTTCAATGTTCTCCGCCACCTTTCATCAATGCGCGCTCTCTCTCTTTCTCTCTTTCTCTCTTTCTTTCTTTCTTTGCCATAAATATTCCCCTGTTCTTTATTCTTCCCCAGTTTGCTAGCTGTGTGCTACTGTTACAGTTGGTACATTTCTCTCTCTCTCTCTGCCCCCAGAGATATTTCTTCATGTTAGTCCCACATGTAATAATGCTCGTGTCAAGTTCAAGTACACTAAACAGTCACCCTGCTAGCTGCCTCTCTTCTGCACGCCCTTTAATCTAACTCACCATCGTAGTGATGCTTCTGCTTGTATGTACCTCCAGGCAGTTAGTTTTTAGTTGGTTAGACAACTTGACCCTGCGCACTTCTCTCAGAAGAGAGCTGCTCTTGTTGCCATGTTGAGATGAAACAAAATTGGACTATTTAACTACACCCGAAGTTTCAATTCCTCAGCACTCAACCATGTTTTTATTTTGATAGTTTTTGCCAAATCCCCATTGCCTCATTCATTCATTCATTCATCCATTCATCCTCTTTTGTGTATTTATATCGAGCGCGGCGCCTGGTTGACTCTTGCTCTAGCCCAACCATGACTTGTATGTACTAGACTGCAACATCCGCTACATTGTTAACTTGCAACCATCCCGCTCCATATCCTAAGTAATAAGCTGAATCTCCAGTCTTGATACGGATTATTCCCTTAAGAGCTATGACACTGCTCCGACCTCATGCCATTGGTCCCATCCAGCTCGTTCTTTAAACATGTTATACCCGTCTCTCGAACATACTATCCATATATATACCCATGCCATGCCTCTTCAATGAAAGCTAACTCACGGTTTGATATCCCTGTTTCGAAACACCCCCATGTGTATCTCTCTGCCATGGCCGCGGGCTCATTCTTGAACAAAAATTTCTGGTTTCAAAAGATTTTTTTTTCTCTTTCCTTTTCCTTTACGGAGTACTTTTGAAACAAACACATAATTTGCAACCCTTCTCCTCATATCATATTCTTACTTGGCTGAAAACATCCTGCTGATTGGGGGAAAAATTCTTAATGCGTCTCGTCTCTTCATCTACGCTGGTATAACTTGTTGCAGCTTCAAAACAGGACCATTCGGCCATTCGAGCCAGGGCCTGTGGCTATGATGACTATGATGACTATGTCTACGCAAGAATGCAAAACATTGAAGTCTTGATGTTAACTATGTAACTATGTCATTTTTGTTATTCATACTTCACTCTAGACCTACTCCTTCAAATCATCATAATTTTTCACCTTATCTCTTCTCATCATCATTATTATTCATCATTCATTCATCATGGAAGTTCAAAATAAAAGTAACACAATAATAATAATCACAAGAATAAGAATCACAACAAGAATAGACATACACACAAACACACACACACAAGAAATTGAACACGTAGGAAACACCACATACAAGAATCATCACTAAGAATTTGAACACTTGAGGGATGTGGCGGAGGCCAGATATATCCATATGAGAAGAACGTAGGGTTAATTTACGGTGATTACACCATGGATCCACCATTCCACCCATGTCACATGTTGCTGATTGTAACACATGTTCCATCATTATATTCAGTGACATGTTTCTGAATATTAAATGTCAAGATAATGTTGAGATAGTGCAGAACTTTCTAATATCATCATAACACTACTCAGTAATCATGTAATTGACAGATATCATTATCAGAATACTACTAAGATACTACAAGACACTGTATACTGTTCTGTCAGTGAAATCAATACTATTAAGCAAGTTAGTTATCTATTACTCAGTACAATGACTACTATTTATTAACTATCTATTCTATCTAAAGAAATGAGATATCTCAATTATAATATAAATATCTTATTATCTGAGACTTATATACTAAATAATCATCATTTTCATCATTATTCTGTATCAGAATGTTATATAATACTGTCTTTCAAATTATCAGCAGTTCAATAATAGTGTAATTGTTAGAATTCTCTTATAAAATCAGCAGATTCAGTAGATAATTATATATAATATAATATAGAGAAATAAGTGTAAAGAAAATTCACTTAACTTCTTTTATTTTATAAATAAATATAATTATAATTCAGTCAAGCTCTGCTTTTTAATATTGAATAATATTCTCTTTTATAAGAGAGATTTGATAAATACAATTTCTAATTTATATATTAGTAAGTTAATAACTGATTAATTAATTAATTAATTGATTGATTGAATAGATATATTAAACTGAGAATATTAACTTATTATAGAAAAATATTAAACAGTGATCTGATTTTAAAACTAAGAGTTTATTTTAATCAGTATCATAGAATTCTTATAGCTTATTAAGAAATAAATGAAGTAATTTAAGCTTGAAGAGATTTATAAATTATATATTAACTTTCTCTGATATCTTGTTTAATAATAGATAATTAAAAATCTTCAGAGTAATATAATCTTTTATTAACTTTAACTTAATAGAGTAGTTCAGTAAATTATTATTCTTATCTTCAGCTTCTATATTTATTCTTAGTAGATTATTGAATAGTACTGAGTAAACTGTATATAAATCTTGAATTTTCTGTATCAGATATATATCAGAGCTGTTAAAGAAATCTCTTAATACTAGTTATAAAGTTCAGTGAAAGCTCTTCTATAAGAGTAGTGTTTTTTTTATATCTTAATAATTTAGTCACTGCACTAGATTTTTATAGTCTTAATACTTATTCTCTTCTATCAGAATATTATAGTTATTGAATACTATATATTCTTTAATCTACTTAATATAGTGTAAATTAATATATATATTCAGCTGTCTCTTTATATACTATATAAGCTTTACTTTTTTTATATAATCACTGATATATATGATGACAGTGCTTATAATTAAAGCAGAAAATAATTGATAATTAATAACTGAATCAGCTTAAGATAACTTAAATATTACTGCTGCTCTGACTGCTGCTTTAATAAGAAATTATAGTTATCAGCAGACTCTCAGTATAATTTAATAAATTACTTCAGAATTATTTTCTCTCAGTGATTGAGATAATAATAGACTATTACTTCTTATAATAGCTGTATATATCTGAATAATAAGATTAATAAGTGATTGATTTACTGCTGAAAATATTATAGAAATAATCTACTTAATTACTGAACTAAGTCATTTCTCTCTAAGCTCATATTATAAGATAAGAGATATAATAATTAAGACTTAGATATACTTCTGAAGTTAATACTTCTTAAGATGAGTAATTAGTAACTGAAAATAATTTTAATTATAAGAAAAAGAAAATATCTGCAATATTTAGAAGTATTCTAGCTAATTATATAGTAATAAGACAGAACAGATCAGTAATAAGTATAAAATTTCTGATATTTTAGTAAACTCACTATAGTATGAATCAGAAGAAAAAAAGAACATTAAATTCAAACTTAATTATATTTGAAAAAGAGACACTGTCTATACTGTTATACTCTACTCTGAACACATTTATTCTCTGTGTATGAAATTTGACAGATTATTCAGTTTAGACTGAAGATATTATATATAATAGTGAAATTAACTGTTATTATATAGATTATAGTTCAGATTCAGCTGATTTTTATCATTAATAAAGCAGCTTCAGTATAATCTTCTTACAGTTAATTCTTTGATCTCTGTATTACTATTTTACTGCAGCATATCTTTAAGAAATGTAATATAAGATATAATAATTCTTATCTTTTCTTCACTGATATTTATCATAACTCTTTTCTCAGGTTTAATGAGAAAGAACTAAGTCTAACTCTTTTGAATAAAGAGATTAAACCCAGTTTGAATGTCAAATGACTAGAAGTATGATTAAACTCCAAGTTGAATTTTAAATATCATATTCAACAAGGAATCATCAAGGCAGAGAGACTACTGAATAGTATAATCAGACTATCAAATACTGAGAGAGGTCTATTCTTTCAGCCTATGAGATAATTATACATAGCCTGTATTATCTCAGTAGCTGATTATAAAGTTCAAGTTTAATGAAACAAACAAGGTAACTTTACTGAACTCTTTCAAAGTCTATAAAACAGAGCTTTGAGAAGAATTCTGAGAGCATTCAAATCATCTTCTATTAAAGCAATGGAAATTGAAGCTTCAATTCCACCTCCTGCTATTCAATTTGAAAAGACCTGTATAAACTATGATCTGAGAGTCATGAAGATGAGCTCAAATCATATAATCAGAGAAAGAGTCTTTTCTTCATTTTCATCAGTTAACTCAGGAAATGAATTGAATTGAAATAGATTTCTTGATTGAAATGAGAATAATACTTTAAAGAAAATGTTCTCTCAACTGTATAGACTATGTTCACTTATTAAAAATCAATTTTCTTCATTAAATGTTGAGAAAATTGATCATGAGAAGATATCTCTCTGAAAAGAAAGGCTGAAATCTCTCATAGACTTATAAGTAAGTGAACTATCTAAAGAGAGAGAATATGAACAGCATTTGAAGAAGATCTCTACAATCAATATAAAAGACTCTATTCTGATTTACTGAGATGACTCAAAAAATGAGAATTTGAATAGATTAGATACAGGCATTGCTTATACTGAAGATAATATCAATTTTATCT